CCCCCCCACTTTTTAAATGTGTTTATTATAATTTGTTTACGCAAGCGGTCATCGTCACTGAGGAGCGTCTGTGTGTGTGTGGCATGAGCGCATCTTGTGAGAGAGAGATAGAAAGAGAGAGAGAGACAGAGAGAGTTAGGGGGGTTGTTAGCATCTGGTGCTAGCTCGGAGCTAACGGAGATTAGAAGCTGTTTCAACAATAAGGAGAGGGAGAGTCCTCTCCTGTGGGACTGAGAGAGATAACGTCAGCTGAGGGAGGTAAAGGACTCCGAGTGATTAGATTGTAAACTTTAGTCTAAGTTATCTCAGTGAGTCTCAAACGGTTTGGTCATCTATGTAAACAAATATTTCCATTTATGTAATATTAGTTGTATATAAAATAAGTTAAGAAATTAAGAAATCCTTCCAATGTGTACTATGGGTCAGTACAAAAATAAAAAAACACAGTTTGAAAGGGGAGGGATTAGTCAAATATACATAAATAAAAAAGAAAGAATGCAGACTAGGTAAGATAAAGACAGGAGAGAGGAGTTTATCAATTATGTGTTATTGGTTGTGAGAATATTCTAATGGTTTTTTGATTATTGAAATACATACAGTTGTTCCATATGATTGTTGAGAACTGTATCCATACATCTCTTAATGTTGCCCTCAAAGTGCACCAGATTGATGCATTCAACTTCAATTTAAAGAAAAAAAATCTTCCCGGGGGTGCATGCCCCAGGACCCCCATAGAGGATGTGAGGTCATCACAAATAAAACAGGTTCACATGGATAGGATACTAGAAAAGTGTGCACACTCATTATATACACTACACATTTGTCTTGGATTTGTTAACACTATAGTCCCTAATACAGTTATACTAATACAAAATTCCTCCTGACCATTGTGCAGGTCTGATATGCAACTATAGGAAACGTTTGGTTGAGGTTATTGTTGCCAAAGGAGGGTCAACCAGTTATTAAATCCAAACCTGGATCCAATTCCACCCTGCACTGTGAATGTTTACATGGTGTGTTGAATAAAAACATATAATTGTTTGTGTGGTTTTAGCTTAAGCAGACTGTGTTTGTCTATTGTTGTGACTTAGATGAAGATCAGAACACATTTTGTGACCAATTTATGCAGAAATCCAGGTAGTTCCAAAGGGTCCACATACTTTTTCTTGCAACTGTATATTTGTAGAAAGGCACAAAATGGAATTAAATTGAGAAAATGTTTCATTGCGGAGGACCACCTGTTTTGTGTCCCCCCCACTTCTCAAACCAAAGTTACACCCCTGGGTACACGTGTTGTTACGTGTTGGAACGTGGGTTGATGGGCCCTGAGCTCAGTGCCCAGGGGCCCCTGGAGGTACTAATACGGCCTTGCCCCCACCCACTCGATCGGATCGGCGATCGGCCGATACTGATTCCGCGATCGGCCTCAAAATTGGCAATCAGAGCATCCCTAACAAAAATTGTGGAAGTACTGTCACGTACTTTTGCAGACACCAAAATACATGACGTTGACCCACAGTAATACTCACATTCATTATATATATGTTGAAGAGATTGTCTTTGCAATGGTACTAAATAAATACATTTAAAAATGTGTTTTATTAATAAAAATTGCAATTTATTTAAAATGCCAAGTTCAAGGAACTAAATGCCTTGTCACTTATATCATACATGGAAGTGGAGCCTATAGTTTTCATTTAAAGGTGGGGTAGGTAAGTTTGAGAAACCGGCTCGAGATACACTTTTTGTTATATTCCATGGAATGCTCTTAACATCCCGTTAGCAATGAATATCTTGTGCTTTGACAAGAAAATCCATAAAAAAAATGCATCTGTGGAAGCCGTAGTACTGTAAAAAGCACGACCAATCATTTTAGCCGGCCTGGCTAAAATGACTGGATGGCCTACCTGCCTGTCAGCCTTCCATCTGTGCACAAACTTATCTCGTGCCCTCATTGGTCATGTGCGCGTTCGTGTGTGTGGGAGGGGCTCTGTAAGGAAGTGGCAGATTTCTTCCGGCTGTGAATTTTCAAATTCTAGCTCACTCAAGCTGGTTTCTCCAAAATTACCTACCCCACCTTTAAAAGATGTATTTTTCAATAAATAAATCTCAGTAACATTTACATAACATTACATACATTAAATATAACACTGAAATTATAAAAAAAACGCAAATTATTATTAATAATTTCAAATATATGTCAGTCACCCAAAATTACGTCATTGGTGTTACTGCTACACAAAACGCTATTATTTTTTAAATAATGTACTGTCTCTGAAGAGCTTCCTGTAACAAGAGGTCATTTGAGGCAGTGCAGTGGACTAAGACATAGGGTAAGTCAGATACTTCTTACTTTGTTTGTTAAAGATGTCATTTTATCTTCAAGTTTTACGTGCAGCTTTTAAGCCTGTCATTAGTGTTACACATTTCATAGCCCTAGGGGTGAACATTTGAACGGGAAAATGTATTGCATTGAAGAGTTAAACTATTTTGATATTGACTGAAGCCATGTGGTCTGGCACATGTTAAAATGGTAGTGTTTTCTCCAAATTGTCACTGGTGTTACCGTCACTGGTGTTACTCTTCTTCCTGGTAACACCAGTGACGTTCCTATATAAATAAGCTTTGTATAATGTATACAAATACTTTGAGCTCTACTTGTTGTGGATTTATCAAGTTAAGACGTTAGTTATTGCTATTCAACAGGTTTTATTTAAGAAGGAATGCATTTCAGCAGATTTGTATCACCCAGATTCCACCTTTTCTGTAGAATGACTCATTTGTATATGGAAATACACTAGTGCTGCAACAATTGTTTATTGCGATTTGCAAAATCGTTAAAGTAATCTTCCATGCAAAAATTGAAGAAACTGCCACCTGCCCCCTAAATATCAGAGTTATGCTACCTTTGTCAGTTTAAATCATGATAAAGTAAATATATCTGAGTTTTGGACTGACAAAACAAGACATTTAATATTGCATCATATTTGAGAAACTGGGATGTTTCACAATGTAACAAACAATCACACAACAAATGATTGTTAGTTGCACTGTGCAATGGGTTGTACAATTACAACTAGCTGGTGGTGTGTTCTTACTTGGAAGGTGGCATGCAGCAGCTTCCTCCCGCTGAGATGCCCGTCTACAGGATGGTGTGAGTCCCTGGACTTCAGAAAACCACCAGCAACCACCATCAGTACACACACTGCCAGGAGGTGCTGCCTCCTCCGGCCCCTTATCATCCTCATCCTCTTTTCTGAGAAAGAACACAGACACAAGAGGAGATGTTTGCATTTGGACTCAGTTCTAACACACAGTCTATTCATGTATTTGGTTATCTGTCGAGTTTCTCTGATAAGTCTCCTAACTGTTTTGCCTAAAAGGTGTGGGCCTGGGTATTAGTACTACACTATGGTACTACCTTACTCCACTCTGTTTGAATGCTGAACAGTGTCTGGGAATGATAAAGTTTGCATTATTGTTGAGATTAGGCATTTCTCTTAACGTACCTGCCTTTGAGTTCCAGCACAGGAGTACAGGTAAGCAGCAAGAAATAAAACCGATACCATCCATAGCAGCAGCAAAAGCACCCAAAACAATCTAAACAAGGGAGCAACACATTATTATTATTATTATCACCAGTGCATGGAAAATATCTTAAAATGTATGGTAACTTAAGTATTTTTACCTGAATATGAAACTGTCTGGACAGAATGGCTCCACTTGTGCTACACAGGTTACCGAGGAAGCTGTAGAGGAGAATGATGCTTTCTCCCGGATTTTTCCCGCGAAATGTGCACCTCTGATACACGAGCCTTAAAGAGTTAACACGGTTTTAATGGTAGAACATTTTAACATTAAAATAACTAGAACAAGTGCAATAATTACTTACAGAATGCATGATAGCAGTAGAAGCAGCGCAGATAGAGAGCTCAGGCCGATGGGGACGCAAAGTTTGTCAGCGCCATGAGAGAAACAGGTGGTGACTGCATCGACGAAAAATTCAACCAAATTGAAGAAAACAAAGTTTGGATTTCCTCCTGTCTGACCGTCTAAGGTCAATATACGCGGTTCCATATTGATTGCAAATAGGTTTACATCTGTTACTAGAAAACAACTAATCCTTGCCGCGCCTGTGCAGCCATGCAGCCGCCTGACGCACAGTGACCTGTTTATTTTGGGGAGGAGTTCACCTGGCTTATAAACACCTTACAGAATACTGGAGGTTGTGGAAAAGTACCTACAGAAGTATCACTTTAGGAAGACCAATCAAACAAAGCTTGAGTTTGTCATTTAGTTGGAGATCATGTCATTATTATATGATGTGATCCTAGTTCTTCCTTTTAACATTAGCTTATGTTTGAAGGGTCATGGCCTGTTTGTTGATATTAAATGAGCATGTCAACATCAATATGCTAATGTGGGTGCTAAATTAAAAACATCATAACCTCTAAATAAAACATTCAAATAAACTCTAGATGTTTCAGGTTTGTTAGATTTTTATTTTCCAACAATCAATTCAACACATTTTTAAATGTCATGAGTTTAGGTCAACTTAATACTCAACACAAGAGATAATCCTTTTAACATTAGTCATTTCATTAAATGCTGATATTAATATGAATATAGATGAACCCCCAATATGAATCCATAAGCCCTTGTAGGTTAAGAAGTATTTTCCAAATATTGCACTGTGAAGCATTCAATAGATAACCTTGTGGAAATGATTAAAGAATTGAAACATGAACAATTTGATTTATTTGGTTTACTATTTGAGTTACATTTATCACAACTGTATATGGATAAACGCAGTATCAGATATACAATCATTTACTTGGATAATAAAGACTTTGTGATGAGTGTTTCTGAAATGTCTTCTTAATACAAAAATCTGGTTCAATCTCTTGTAAAATCCCAACTTCAGTGATGTTGAGTCCCTTTCCAAACACTGTGGTGAGATCTGTTGAACAACTACTGGTTCATATGATGGAATGCATTTCACCAATATGTTCTTAACGATATATGCATCTCAGTAGTTAACATAGACTGTCTTACATTTCCTTTCATAAGAATTAAAGGGCCTTCATCTACCGTCAGATACTGCTCAGCATTAATTCCTTTGGAATCACATCATGTGAACTGCAGTTAAGGGTTTTTACATTCCCAATTAAATGATCTGTAATGCTTTGATTTCAGATCGTGGTCAGGCCTCTAGATGCCTGTTAAGACGCCGTACTTTCTCCTTCTTGTTCCTATTGCCGTGTTTTTTCCAGGGTTTTCCCTCCACCACCTCTTTTCCAGGTTTTGGTGCAGGGACAGGTCCGCAGCCGGGCTTGTAGCCCATTACAGACTGAACCCCCTTAGAGAGCGCCCGCACATTTGCCTGGAGATGGAGATCAATAACCATTAGTTTCACATTTATTTTCCACGTCACAATATGGAGGCATTTTCTTACTAACACAAAGACTGTATATGAGCTGTACCTGATGGAAGAAGTTTTTGTCAACCACATTTTCAATCCTCCTGACTTTGTTGTGGCTCGTTGATGTGGAGGAGAATTCACTGAAGTCTACGTCTGTTTTCAGGAACTCGCTGTGCTGCGGCTGGAAGTCTTCAGGATTAATGTGTGGAGGAGGATGGCAGTACCGAAGCTTTCCCTGGAGGAAAACATTAGGAAAAAGGGTAAATTCAGGATGCACATATTTTAAATTTCAATAATACAAGACTGCTACTCCATTCTGCAGCAAACTGGTCCCAACAAAGCAGAAGCTTTCAGTGGTATCACAATTATTATAGGTGATGCTGCAGGTGGGTGTAGCATGTATGTGGTAAACAGTAAATCAAAAGGGAAAGTTCACCCCAACCAAAATATGTTTTTCTCTTACCCATAGTGCTACTTAATAATATAGATTGTTTTGGGTGAGTTGTAGAGTGTTGGGGATATCAGGCATAAAGATATCCGCCTTCTTCTCAACATAATGGAAATGGAAAGCTTTTGATGCTTAAAGTGCCAAAAATAAACATTTAAAAAACTCAACAGCATCCCAATAACTCAACATCATCAACAGACATTGTTGTGAGCAGTTTCATGTTGGAACTATTATCTTCTAGGCATTACACATTGCTTTTAAAAAGACCATCTACAGATTTGGATAGGTTGATAAAAACCAACCAACAGAATAGCTTACGTTGACAAAATCCTTCAGGATGTACCGGGCTGATCTGGACTGATCAGGCTGTCCATGCGCCGTCATGAAGCCTCTCATGTCTGTAACAGAGGGAAACATAATGATAATTATTATTCTGCTTTTATGTAATTGCAGAGTTTATAATAACAATAGTGGGCTAATACTACACAAGTCTATGAAATTAATTGTAATATTTGATATAAAAGATGAATTACATGGGTGACTGTCACAGCTCATTCTTCATACAGCGCTGCCTTGGCCTGTTTATTTATTCTCTATAAAAACATAATGAATATCCTCACATCCATAAGCCATGAGCAGCTCCTCAGAGGAGGGGCACCGGTCGGGGTCTTCGTCCTCTCGCGGTCGGATGATGTTGAAGCCGTAGATTCCTTCCAACACATGCCGAGGGATTGCTTGACATATGTGAAAAAACTGTCAAGGACTTAAAGTTGGACACACTGTGAGCTTCATGATGTTGTAGATTCTAGGTATATTATTTTAAACACCAACATATTGTTTTATTTTTGTTTCCATTACAGTAAATAGACATTACTGTTCACACAGTAGGCTCCACCATGAGGTTACTTCATGTAGTAGATTATTTATTAAATAGCCAAAAAACATGCTATATTGGGATTTATATAGATATCAGTGTTTTAAAATTAGCTATATTATGATAGAAGATTTTGAACATTTTACCCCTCCCTAAGTACGCTAGGTTTTTGTCGTCAGAACATTACCTACTTTAATACACTACATACTCCAGACAATAACTACATCTAGCATTTTTTTTTTAAAACACCAATTTTCAAATTAACTTCTTTAGTTACTGCGAAAGAAGATTACTGCTTCTCACGCTCCTGCATGAGAATGTGTTATTGCACGTTATAAACTCAACATATAGCACATGTAATGCTCATCAACACGTTGTTTCCTCAAAGAAAAAGCTGCAAGTGGATTCTGCAGGTGCTGCGCCACTATCACAAAAAGGATATATGTGAAATTGCGGGGACGTGATCTCTCATCTGGTCGATGGGCAGGATGCCAGAGCAGATCATCTCAGCTTTAGTAGAAACAAAGGAGGGCAGGGTCAGACCCGGGCAGTCACAGAGGCACAGGCCCGGCTCCACAAACAGAGTCTGTCAGACAAGAGAGGCAAAACAACCGTCATTAGACTTTCTGTAAATGAATGACTGAATTAATATGAATAGGTTTAAAGATTAGATCTTGTACCTGGAAGTGCTTTGTGTGTCCAGGAGTCGCTGAGACGGAAACCTTCTTGTTCCTGAAGATGGTGTTGATTGTGGAGCTCTTTCCCACATTCGGATATCCAACCTGTTGAATTCATACATAGAGTCAATGATATAATCAATCATAAAACTCACAGGGTGATTTATTACAGCATTTGTTAAACGAATAATTCCTTCACAGAATCAACCATTTATATATGAATTAATGACCCCTGTAATTGAAAGGATTCGAGGTCTTACGGGGACATGACCAACATTTCTTTTTCACACACCACTGTGGGTAATTCGTCTGAAACATTTCACTCACCAGTCCCACTGTCAGTTCTCCTTCTCTGCACCTGGTCCCGTTGTGAACAGACTTAAACATGGCCAGCAGCTCGTCCTTACGCAGCAGGCGGCTTGAGTTGTGGAAGGCGGATTTACTGGATGAACCGGCAGTGTCTTCCTCTTCTTCATCTTCCGAGCAGGTGTTCCAGTCCTCCGCCTGTACAGTTATCTTTTCCCGCTGATCTTCATCTGAACCACTCTCTTCTACCTCATCATCCTCCTCCTCACCGGCTGTCTTCATCTCCTCCTCTCCCGCTGCCCCTTTCTGGGTAATGTTTTCATTATCTGGCCTGTCTTCCTCTTCGTCACTCTCTTCAATCTCTTCAATCTCTGGAGCCTCCACTTCAAGGCCCTATGAGAAGTTTTGTATGTTAACACCAGGTTAATACAGATTTTAAGGCTGAAATCACTTTATCAATTAATCTGCTTCTTTTTTTTCTAGATTAAATTAAAGTGTCCATCACAGTTTCTCTGCAACCCTTAAATGCTTTGTGTGTCACTCAAAATCCCAAAGATATTTGAACAGTGATGACAAAAAAACTGAAACTGATAACATTGAGCTTCCCAAGACAAGGATCTACACCATTAGTTGCTCCCAATACATGTAAATGAATGCATTCAAATAAACAGGTGACGTGCAGGGTAGATATTCTGAAAGCTCCTCACCTTCTCCTCTGCCTCCAGTCTCTCGTTCTCAGCCAGGGCCGACCAGAACACTGCCCTCAGCCCTTGTTTCTGGAAGTATGTGGCCCAGGCTCGCCTCTGCTGTCTGGTCAGCAGGTCGGCCTTATTCACCAGCACCATGTTCACCTTATGCTCTGACACTTCCTTTACATACAACTCCTGGGAACACAACAACAAAAAGGTGTCTATGTTTAGTTCACCTTTGTACAGTATTTCCCGTCTGTTTAATTCATTTCAATTATTAGAGTATACAATTTGTACACATTTAAGAGAGAGAGAGAGACCAACAAATCAACATGAAAGATAACAGCTTAAAAAGAAATCAAACTCTTCAAGAGAAGTATAAAAGAACTGAAACCCAGTATTTAAAATGTGTATCTTAAAGCAGAGACAACTGTCATTGAAAAACATATTTAGTCACAGTTAGGAGTCACTTACCAGGTCAGAACTTCTGAAGAGCAAAGGGTTTCTTCCATCAACAATCTGAACAACGACGTCACTGCAAGAGAAGTTTTAAACGAGTGAAACAAATTCCTCATTGAAGACAGGATAAAGCTAACAGTTGTACACAGCTCTTGTTTTTTTACCTCCTCTCGATCACTCTCCACAGTTGTCTCCAGAACTCCAGGTTCCTCTCAAATGGGGTGAGAAATAGCTTCTGCTCCTCTTCGAGACTTTAGGGGAAACACTTGATGTTAGATTGGGCAATCTAATAATCAAATAGTTATATAACCACATATAACACATGCTGTATGGACAGCTTTTGTACACAATTTCTTAAACAATAAACATGAAACCACAACAATACTGTTTATAAAAAAAAAAAAATTGTTAGAGCAAATGTGACAGAGTTATCAGAATATTACACACTGTGCAAGCTTTCGTCTCCACTCCAAGAAGCTGTCTTTCTCCGCTTGTTGAAGTACTTCAGCACTGGTGTCTTCATCCCAGTGGGGGCTTTAAATTGGGAGAGAGATATCACAACATGTTATTATGACAAAAGCTAAAGGTATCCCTAAAAATTATGTAGAAGAATGTTCTACGTACCGTCGAGGAATTCTGAGGAAATGCTTGTTTTCTTCATGAAGCTGCTTCAGCCTAGTTCTCTCCTCAGATGTTATTAAGCCAGCTCTTGCTTCCACTGGCACAAACTTGATGTTGAGTTTCTCTAAGAAAATAAAGCAAGAAATAAACATAAATGGCATCATAAGACAAATAAGCAGTGGATAACAGGGACAGTTAAGCCAAAAATAAATAAATATGAGCACTCTCAATGCCAACTTCATTGAGAATCAACATGACAATGAATCTTGAATCCAGAAACATTTCATCAATGAAGCTCTGAGGCTTAGGCCCCCATCTACAGAGGAATGCTTGCGTTTACGCACCGTATGCGTTTTCAAAAAGTCTTCCGTTCACACGAGACCGCTGGAAACGCTGTGGTACATATGCCAGGCCTGTAAGTGGCGCCACAAAATACACCAAAAGCAGGGAAGGCATGGTTGCTCTTCTGTTTATTCTTCGCGGTGGACGGCATTTGCTCCTGCTGTAAATCTCTCCGGTAGTCCACCAGCAGATGAAAAACACCCACCTCTCCGCCTCTTCCAAGGGACGAGGGAACCGTGCGGCAGAGTTTCCGTTTTTCGCCGGTCAACATGTCCGTTAAAGTTTAAATCTTCCGGACAAAATTTGAAAAGCGCCGGTCAGAGGTCTTCTTTGTTATTTATTGAGCTTTAAAACAAATTGATAACGACTCTGTATGATAATATAAGAATAATAAACGGAGCCTCTCTTTTCCTCACCCTCTTCTAACAGCCCAGCAGCAGCAGGAGATGTGGGAAGAGGGAGACGTGGGGAGAGGGAGACGGGGCGAGAGGGAGACGGGGCTATTTCATCGTTATCAGAAAATAATAATAATAATAATAATACATTACATTTCTAAAGCGCTTTTCCTGGTGCTCAAAGCGCTTAAAATGATCGTATAGAGGCGATTACACGGAGCCGTTTGACCCGCCAGAGCGTTCCGTTTGCAGATCTATCCACCTTGGGACGCGTTATCGTTTGCGGGGTCCGTTTCTATCGTTGTGTTATGGCCTCGTGTAAACGAAAGGGCAATACGCAAGAGAAACTATGCGGATACAACCCGTTTCGTCCTCGTGTAAACGGAGTCTAAGACTATTAGTGACATGAGCAATAAGTTCATTTAAACAACTGTACATTTGGTTTGAGGGCATTTAATTAACTATTTAATCTGGGTGCAGCTCGAAATAATACAATGGCATATATTCTACTAAGTACTTTGCAATGCTTATTGGGTACAAATTATTGACAGTCTGTGACCACAACACACATCCGAACAACACATACATTTAGTGAGTTATTACTAACCTGCAACAAACTCCGTTCCTGCCAACTCTGCAGTGGCCAGAAAATCATCCATTGAACTCTGTTCTGTTACCGACTGCAGGTTCAGCCGACCCCAGTCATAGCCATCATTCAGCTCACTTGTGTGGATCTGCAAAGGTGAAAAAAGGGTCAAATAAGGGCTTCATTAATAACAAACCATACATTAGTCAAGGATTACAGTGAGTACTTAAGAAAAAAAAGTATACGGTGTTCTGCCCTGACATTACTTAGGATGTTTTTTGTTTGCTCACTTTATTTAACATTGATTTAACCAAGCGAGTCATTAAAAATTTAGCAGGCACACATCAAATCATTTCCAACAGACCCTATACTTGCATACAATCGCATGTAACGAAAGATATCACATTAACATAATGCAGTCTGAAAACAGGCTTCGGGCAGGTACAGTAGCTAGCATACAACAACATCAGAAAATAGAGCAGCTTCAAAAGTGTTTATAACAGCAGCAGCATGAGCACACTATGCATGTGGCCACAGTAACAAGCAAACAGACAAGGTTAGGGAATATAATTCCCTAAATCTAATTTATCTCCATGCCGAATTGTTCACAGGAGCATATTTATTATGAAAAGTTGTTTATAGTGGCACTTTACATTGAATATATGCATAGCACCAATAAAATAATATTTTCTCAATGGAGTTTGGCGCAAGCAACTATCCATGTTAGTCAGATCTATTGAGAGCTCACCCAAAACACACATTTTGAGTGGCAGTTCAAACAGCACCGACAATGAACTTAATCAAATATCAAGAACAGCAACATATACAAAATTATTTGATAAAGCATGTGTAATATAAGTTCGTTTTTGCCCTGACGTACCCATGAGTCGCCTCTCTTTTTTCCTCGGCCTGCATTCAACCTTTCCTTTATCAGAGTTCGACCCAGTGCTCCTGCTCCTCCTACTTTCTTCTTACCCATACTAACTTCTGATGTTCTGTAATATAATATATAACAAACAAAGCTGTAAATTAAGATATCGTGAAGATGGAAAATGCTATCTCCGACTAGCTACTGTCTGTGCCCCATGTGCACAACGTTGTTGTCGTCAGAACCGGAAGTGGGATAAACCAATCGGGCCTCATACCCTGACTTCAAATACTAGGAGGTATTTGTTAATATGTTTTATTTAAGCATTTGCATACAATATATGGATAAATAAACAATACAAAAATTGGAATTAAAACTCTCCTTTATCTGTATTGGTAGTATATACAGTGACGTGAATATGGTACAGTCCGTTTTTTTGTCCAGCTCTTAAAGGTGCCCTGAAGAAAACGGGACAGTACCGATATACGTTCCTCATTTTTAACTGCGGTCAGTTTTGAGCATGGTTTTGAGATATTAATAGGCTACAAATAAATAAAAATAAATATAATGCAATCCACATCAAGAAAGTACATTGAATTCAACAAATAAAAAGTGAATTTTGATCAAAGTAACACATTAATTATCTCCCATCATCATCACAGATTAACAGATGCATTTCTGATGCGAACCAGAAGATGGCAATAACCTTCTTCGTTTGTTTATTGTGTGACTTTAGCATTACTTTGCCTGTGTTTTTATTTCCTCTGAATTACCTTATTATTGTATGCACAAAACCCTAATGCAAACCAATTATAAGTGAAAACATAATTGGTAAAATGTGTTTAATTTGTTCAAATTAAAACAATTAAAATATGTATCATGCTTACTCTTCCATTACCACTATAGTATTCTAATTGACATTTTTGAGGTCATTTGTAAAACAAAATATTTATATTTGTCCTATTTTATGCATATTTATAGCCGAAATATAGGTTTCCCCATTGTAAAATAATATCTGGTTATAGGCTCGTGTTATGCTAAAATATGTAAAAAAAAATGATAGCCTAACGAAAATATATATAAGTAGTATATTTTATCTAGTTGAGCGAATGTATGCTTCGGTCATTTTTGAAAAAAGGGCAAAGGGGAATGTAGTATCAATAAACACAACAATATTATCATTTGGTTCAGCCCCCCCTACAGTCTCCGTGAAGTGGTTTCTCCCTGTATATAGCCTAGTCCTGAACGCTCGCCCTTCATCAGCAGACTGGTTTCAAAATAGCGAAGAGAGAGGATAGGAGACACAACAATTGGACATGAGCTCTTTAGAGGCAGAACAGATGAAGTACGATGTCTTTGAGTTCAATTCTCATAGAGTAGCTCAAACACTTCTTGGATTTAGCAGTTAATACAAAGTTTATTATTTTCTTAGTAGACTTTGTTGCTGTTGACTGGAAACAGCAATACAATGCTGCCTTGGAAGAAGAATAAGTTCGACCTGATCGAGGAAGACAAGCAGTCCAAGCAGAAAGGCTATGCGGTGAGCCTCAACTACTCAGCGCTCACCTCCTTCGCCAAGTCCTGCCCCGAGAGCGCGCTCAACAGGGTGGGCAGCATGTTCAAGTCAAAGAGGAAAAAGGTGAAGATCACCAGCGAGGACCCGACATACACAGTGCTATACCTGGGGAATGCCACTACCATCCAGTCCAAAGGGGACGGCTGTACGGACGTTGCCGTGAGCAAGATCTGGGGCAAAAGCGAAATGGGCAAAAACGGCACCAAGATGAGGCTGACCATCAGCTCGCAGGGCATCCGGATGGTGCATGTGGACGACAAGGCCAGGAGGCCGGGACACTTGTACTTGCTACACCGGATAACATACTGCGTCGCGGACCCGAGGCTACCCAAGATTTTCGCCTGGGTTTACAGGCACGAAATGAAGCACAAGGCCGTGATGCTGCGCTGTCACGCAGTGCTGGTGTCCAAGCCGGAGAAGGCAAAGGCTATGGCGCTGCTGCTGTACCAGACCTCGGCCACGGCCCTGGCTGAGTTCAAAAGACTAAAGCGAAGGGACGATGCCAGGCACCAGCAGCAGCAACTCATAGGGGAACAAACCATCCCGTTGGTCCCCATCAGGAAGCTGCTGAACGGACAGTGCTACTACAAACCCCCGGTGGAGCGCAGCCGGAGCGCACCCAAACTGGGCTCCATCACAGAGGACTTAGTCGGGGAGGAGGAGGAGGAGAAAGCGATGCACTTTGAGTGTGAGGACATTCTGGACACGGACGATGATTGTGTTGCTAACGGTAAACAGGAATTGACTCAGATTATTAATGACTTGGGGGAGATGAGCATAGGAAACGACCTGCAGACTCTGAAAGCTGACCTCAGAGTCACCAGACTTCTCTCTGGAGAGAGTACGGGCAGCGAGTCCTCCATAGAGAGCAACCAGGAGCCCCCTCATCTCTCTAATGGCTTTGAGGAGGTAAAGGTGCAGGAAATCGCCTGAATGTTATATTTCCGGGCGAGTCTCCTATGATGAGCCATGTCTCCACAAGAAACATTTTCCCTGTCTTTGTTTTGGAGAGTGTTTGTCCAACCTGGTTCCAACACGACTAAAGCTCTGGGACAATAACAGCACGTTGACACACAATAAGGCTACTGAACGATACTTAATATTGTGTCAACCTATGAACAAAACAAATAACAAGTGCATGCCCATTTGAGAGAGGAAACGACACAAATCCAAGTGTGCCCAGGACGCACTGCACTAATTCCATCTCTTTTATTTAAGAGGATTTGTGTATCCTCAAGCTTGTTTACCTAACTTTACTCTCAGTGGGTCTAAACAGGCATCCTTAATTTTCCTGTCAGGGCGCTCTTGTTACTGCCTGTTAATTTACTTTATTTTGCACTGTTGTGGAAGTATTATGTTGACTACATGTACTTAATGTTTGTTGGTATGTTGCCTAAAACATCAATGTCTTATCTTTGCTGTGCAAAAGAAACACACCTTTATGTATTGAGATGTAAAGTACGATGTTTCAAGTATAAATATGTTATTTTCGAAAGGAAAATGTGGTTTGTTATGTGAACCTCATAGACTTATCAATAAAAAATAAAATTATATGAAACTGTGGAACTTTATGTGTAGATTTGTGTTGGAAAACATTTAGGCATTTGTTTCCCTCCCGCAATATGAGTGGGGATTTCCCTTGAGAGGCTCAGATTCAGGTCAGATTTGCAGTGTGAAAAAAGCAACATGGAGGCAGGAAACACAGAGAGATATTTCTTAGCTGTATGGACTACAGGTACCATCATATTATTATTTATTTATTAAATAGCCTTGGCTGAAAATGTGTCCTTTTTTCGCCAAATTGTTTTCTGGGAACAGGCTGTTGAAGTTATTCAATTAAGGTACTGAAGGCCCATTCATTCCTCCTGGCCCTCAGGGAAGCCAGGACACACAGGAGGACGTCACCACAAGCAAGCTATTAGAGCATCACATGGGTCCTTTAATAACAAGACGGCTGACCCCCAGACGCCTTAACAACATACTGACTGTTTTATTTATTTTTCTCTTACGTCTATCTTCCTTTCATGAGACAGAGAATCTCTCAAGGGCAAAAACAAGTTCTGTTTAATCCACATAGGTAATGTTGTGTGTGTAGAATATATCCAAAGCCAGCCAGTACATTTCTTGTACATTTGGTCTATGTATTGAATCAGAACAAGGTTTATGGAGGAAAGATTGAGGGACAATTTGATAATTCATGATTTGGAAAGAAGTACACACCTAATCATTTCTAATAGAGGACTTTACAGTAATCATGAGTTACTAGAGAGCAGACTGGGATATCCTATATTAATCAATCCTTTTGTAATGATTAGTTTAACAGTTAAACAATGATAAAACACTATATTTCATTATAGTGGCATAGGCCTATGTATTGACACAGTACCATTGAAGCCTAAATGAAATGTTTGCGTGAGTTACTACCATTTGAAGACATGTATAGAGTTGAGTTGTACCATAAAACAGTTCTGACTTATGGATAAAGATGTCAAAAATGGTAATATTCACAGCCATAAATATGTGAACATAATTTCAGCACATATATCGTCCTGCTAACTGGTTTAAATGTATGTACCAACATTTTATTTATTTATTATAGTGTTGTTACTTCACCAAAATATAAGTTGATGAAGGGAAGTGACACATTAGGTTACTTCCTCCTATTTAAAGATAGTGTATCAGGTGCAATATCTGATAACTGCAGTGGCAAAGAGGCAGATAAACTCTCATCATGCGAGGGTTGTGACTTTGCAGCAGTGACACAACTTCCCTTGCAGCTCTAAAAGTAGAAGACCTGCCACTGTCACTTCCCCTCCACATAACAACCGGCCTACGCCTACTGCACACAGTTCTTACCAGACTTATGACATATGAAACAGTATCACCACACTTATTTCGTTTATTTTAAAACGTATATAAATCTTTGGAGGTATGAATCTGTCTGCCAAAGCCACACCCCGAAAGCCCGCTGCATTAGGGCTGCAACTATTGATTCTATTCTCGATTATTCTTTGGGAAATAAAATGTCAGGAAATAGTTTACATGTCCCCCCTAATGCCTTAATGTCCTAGCTAATGTTTTTTAATGTTTTGTTTTAACAGCCCGCAGAACACCCCAATACTCTTTTACTCTATTTAAAAAAAGAGGAAAGCAAGAAAATCAAAATTTCAGAGACATTTCAGCGTGAAAAACTACAATAATGATTTATTGATTATCAATATTGTTGACGATTATTTTCCATCAACTAATTGATCTGTCGACTAATGTTTGCAGCTTCACACGGCATGCACGGGTGCTCCCCCAGGCCAGAGCCAGGCAGATTGTCATGTACACCACCTGCAGTGATGCTACACAATAACAGGGCTGAATAAGACATGAGGAGACAGAAAACAGGTTCCCTGCTGCCCAGAGGAGGTGGGTGGATATGGGGATTGTTATCTGCACAGACAGAGTTTCACCAGCGGACAAAATCGCATCAGCCATGTTGAGGTATTCACTGAAAACAAAAACTACTCCCACCATGGATTTAATATGAGATCAGGAGACAGAAGGTTAATGTATTTCAGGCAGCGGTCGGCCAGTCCTATAAAAAGCTTCACAGCAGCTCATTATGAATTGATGTGCCTCCGAGAGACCAAACACACACACACGCACACGCACACGCACACACCCACACCCACTTAATCCATGGCTGGTCGTGGTTATCCTGCATGTGAGTTTAAATAGCAACATAGCGCAGGAACCCACGCTTCTCTTCCTCATGTGGTGTGATGCCCTGTCTGCAGCTGCAGCCTCAAAGGAGTTGCCCTTTCATGCAAAGAAAACATGACATCATCAGCAAGTGTCCTGCTCAATGTAATTAGTGGACACCCAGAACTTTTACCACATGTAAGTATAGTCAGAGCAATTTGGGCATTTTCTACAATTACTGCTTTTAACAGTTGCTTAATGAATTTGTAGTCCAATATTTCTACCTGACCTACATTTTTGCACAACGTGTCTCATGTCCCACATTTGCAAAAGCAATCATGGCCTTGGACAATCTTCCCGGCATACCTGAATGTAGGCCACAAGTGCAGCCGGACCACTCCCATGATTACAGGATTGAAAGTGTTTGTTGACAACAAGTGGTTGTAGAAGATGTGTCAATCTGCCAAGGGAGAGAGCAGAGTTCCTGACTGATAAGAGAGAAAAGATATATGGTTTTCTTGTAAAGTCAACCTTTGCTTTTGCTTGTCTCTCAAACAAATCCTCAGGTGTTTTCTTAACTTATTGTTAGGCGCGTTGGAGTCACAGGTAAAGAGGCTACTTATATAGATTCTTTAAGAGTTTAAAGGTATCAACAAATATAAACCATGCAAATTGACTTATATTGTTGACATTACAACTTCCAACTTGCAACAAATCCTTAATTTCTTGCGTAATACCCTGATTAATTGTTCATTAGGTATAACAAATAATTACAAATCATAAAATAATGACTTATAGATTATTCTATTCCAAAGATGAAGTGTTCCACAGTCCAAATCCCTGCAAATCTTTGACATTTAGAAGTTGTACAATTTGAAATAAATGAATTAAAATGTGTAACTGTATTCACACAAGTAACACAACTTGCACTATACTCGTACAGATACACGTACATTCTCCTTTGCAACAAACAGCAACAGCAAATGACGTGTAATGTCGACCAGGCCAGCCTGACATCCCCAATACTTCCAGGAAGGAAAGGATGGGGCTTATGATGCTTGAGCGGTAAAAAAAATATATATATACAGGACAAATGGAAATTGTATACATTTGTTTGTGAAAAGAGGAGGACAGTACAACCAAATAATGAATAAAGATCAATGAATTAACCCAAGGAGAAAGATAATCTGGCAGTCCTTGTGCTGTCTGACACCCATGCAAAAGAGAAGAGTTGTTTAATGATGTGCTGGTTGAACACAGCTGCAGGCCATCGATGTACCACACCATCACCAGCGCCAGCCAGACACGGCAGAAAATCTGTTCGTCTATAATGCATGAGGAGGGCTGGGAAAGCAGCAGAGCATTAGTTAGTGTGCCCGGATCTGAATACACCAGCAGCACGGCGAAGTGAGTGGATGAATCAGAGCATGGAAGGATGGAGACCTTCTCTTGTCTGTGGAAACATAAAAAACAAATCTCTAGGAATAGTAGCAACATATCCCAGCTTGCCCTCAGATGGTAATTAGATGCTTTACGTAGACAGTAACTCAATACTTGACGCAGGTGAGGAGGAGCTGGAGGCAACACTACTATTTGTAGCATGAAGGTGTAATTAACACCCAACTCAAATACAGCAACAACCACTGAGGGTCATTTTACTCACACCATAGAATTAGAAGTGCTGCAGACCGTATAGATAGTTGTGGTGAACTTTGTTGGCCTTTTTCTCTTGGAGGATGGTGCGTTTTGATTCGTGCTTCGCAGGCAGGCAGTGTCAGATGATGTCAGTGTCAGAGTCCACTCACGACTGTACCAGGTCGCTGCGAATGTGAGAAAGACAGAGACAGACAGTGAGGGACAGAAAGAAATCCATTACGGTGCCACCCTCAGCTCTCATTAGTTTGCATCTGACAGCTGTCCCCCGGGAGCTGCATAAATGTGTGTGTCTTTGCATGCAAGTCCACTCTGTGTGTATGTAGAAGTTACTTTCATGCCCAACTGTCTTCATTCTACGTGCCGCGTCCTTTAAGGTGCTGCTCTGACTGAAGTGCAGGATCGACTTAGCAAAAAAGACATGCTTTAATTAATTATTGAGAAACTGCACCCATCAAAAAGGACTGTGTCTGAAAATTCAGATAGATGTCAGTGATTTTATGCAGTTGGGTTATATAATCTAAGATGGACAACTTGGAAGAAAACAATGAATGTGGAGACAAGGAGTTACGGCCATGCTGGAAGCTCTGTGAGTCTGTATAAAGGCACATAGTTGCTTTTAGCTAGATGTTAACATGAGCATGCTAAAATGCTCACATGGTAATTCCAATTAACTGATGTTTTGCAAATGGTTTGTACCATGCTAACAAACTTGGTTAACACTCCTGTTAGCGTGTTAACATTGTATTTTTAGCATTAAACAGCTTAGAACTATGAGATGTCACTTGTTTTGTAGATGTTTGGTCAAAAATCTAAGTACAGCGAGGAAAAGTACATTCCATTCCACCATCCTTCTCATTTTTGAAGAAAAAAAAATCTACAGTAGAAGTATTATTGGCAAGAGACAAATACTTGTTGATCATGTTTTCATTCTTCCTTTCTGTCTTTCTTTTGTTATTTTGCAGGGACAGTGTAAATGCAGCAGAGTTAGCCAAGGGGCTATTTTGTTATCCATAGTCCTTGGACAAATGTTGTAAGATCACCCTAAAAGACAATATTATTGTGTCCCTGGGCAAGTCACTTCACCCCAAATTGCTCCTGTGGGGATTGCCCACAGTACTGAGTATGTAAGTCTCTTTGGATAAAAGCGTCTAACAGGTAACATGTAAACTGGGATGGACGAGCAACTGGTCATGCTCATTTTCTTGCTTCCCAGTATA